CCAGGAAGCGTCACTTTGGCTAAAAACAAAAGTAGCTCTTGTGAGCAGTTTGGCAAAACTATAATGATAATTTTAGAGCAGTCTGTCCTTAATAAGACTTGAAAATCCATTCCACTGAAGCTTATTACCGATTCTATCCTCATTTTAATATGGACTTTAGCCCAGTCCACTGTGGACAGTGGTGGTACTGATAGTGGTGATTAGGTGTGCGATATTGGTACACTGAAATACTGTGATATTTTGTGGTATGATACGGAATTGATATTTAAAAGCAATGTATATATGTTTTATTGAGAATTTACATGCAAACATACTGTTTTTCTTGGGTTTGGTGCAATTCAAACTCCCACTGATAGGTGGCAGCAGTTTTTACCATCCTAACTCTGACAGATCTTGCGAGAACCCTGGATGTGTCTTGGAAGCATCTGACCTGAGTATTCCAATTACGTTCAGTCTTTGAAATTGCAAATATCGCCTGGTTTTAAGTATTGCAGTATATCGAATCATCTCCGTGTTCCTACCAATACACACCCTTAGTGACCACAGATCCAGCTGCTTGGACTTCTAGAAGTGCAACAAATGCAGGGCAGTACAAGCTGCAGGCTGAGACAACATCTAAAGGATAATGACCTTCACGACTTCTATTAATGATGCGTATAGAATGGTTCAACCCATTTACTAGATTTTGAGCTGTTCATCATTTGTCTTAGCTGTCACTGAATAAAAGTTTTCTTTAGTGCAAGTCTTCTTTCTAACGTTTGATCTTGGTTAATTCCTACATGAAAAACAAAGTTATTCCAATTTTTATCCCTACAACTTAAACTGCTCCCTGGTTCTAAGCAGAATAGCGAGAAATTTAATTTGGACGTGTCTGGAACGTGCGGAGGGTGTGTGTAAAATTAAACATCTAAAAGGAGGAATCTTTGACCTGTGGGTAAATCCTTTAAAAAGGATCAGACAACTTTTATGGGCCATGAGCAGATTGTGATCAAGCCCATGAAAACACCAAGGGCACATCCTATGAGATTACATTATGAAGTGAGTGAAGACATGCAAAAAGATGATTTAGCATGCTTTTGGTTACTATTTATATCAGATACGTGACAGGAAAGTGTTGAGGCTCTGAAACAATCAGGTGGAATTTAATTAACCTCGTTATATTTGGGTTTGTGTGTAGGACTGAAATAAAGATAACTTAGCACTTTGCCAGTGGGAATTAGTATTTGTTGGCAATACACAAAAATAAGTTATGCTTTTTGTGTGTCTTGGGTGACAGTACTATTTAGAAAATGACCTTGAAAACTGTTGTCAGAACTATTATTCATGTTTTCAATTATCATGTTTTATGCTTTTATTACAATTACAGATTGTTTCATTTATGCTTTTATTACAATTACAGATTGTTTCATTTATGCTTTTATTACAATTAAAGATTGTTTCATTTATGCTTTTATTACAATTAAAGAATGTTTCATTTACCATGTTTTATGCTCAATGATTTTATGTTATTTCATTACATTTCTTGTCTATTACGTTTGCAACTAGGGATGTTTCGATCACATTATTTTGTTCCTTATTCAAGTTGCAGTCATTTGACTTAGATATATATCATCTGCCAGGTTTCAATTAGACCTTTGAGTAAAGAGTTAAAATGAGAAAAAAAGAAAACCAAACATCCATGTTGTCCTTTAAGTTTCACTTTCACTTTTTTAGAAAGTTCATTAATTTTAAAAAGTGTTAATGGTCTGAATAGTTAAAAGTAGTGCTGTTGCTTATATTTCAAAGAGCTAACGTGCTGAATTTGCAGCTGTACTGACTAATGCATGCTCCTGCAGCCATGCGGCACGGCCAGGTGACTCACTTTCTCTGCACAACACCTGTAGCTACCACGGGTGGCTCAAGAGCTACAGGCGACTGAGCCACCCTGACATTTTGCAGTCCGTCTGCAATTTCTCTTTGTTTATTAGCTTGTCTTTGTCTGCTGGTTCCATGTTTTTGCCCAAGTTGCTGCAGTGAACTGGGACTATTAGTGGCCAACTGGGACTTAATGGAGACAGGTGATTCGATTTAGCGACGCCCCGAGGGAAAAGCCGAAAGAGAAAGTTGTTTAATTTGAAGGTTGTAAATCATGCAGCTCTGTCTCTCCACGCTGATAAATGCCCATTATGCACAAATTACAAGTGGCTGTTGCATTGCCTTTGCTGTCTGATTTAAAGTAAATCCAAACAGAAGACATTTTCACTCCCCTGAGGTGACACATCAGCTTTGCGTTAGCCTGATAGCTAACAGCTACATGTTATGTTATCCGAACCCCTCCTGCTGTAAATTGTGACGTTATGGTGTTTTTATCCATGAAACAGAAATAATTGATGTAGAAAAACATGTAGAAATTTAAACTAAGCCGTTTTTTATTCATTCTTATTTAGTTTGAAAATCCTCATCTGTGGAGGAATTTAAAATGTCATATTTGTTGTTTTATAATAATCGTTTCCACCTGATACTGATCCTTTAAAGATCTCGTGATCGGGCCCAATTACCATTCACATGATTGGATTGGAGTGATCTGAAAGGACAGAACTGAAACTGACTCAAATAGGAAGTTAACTCAACTGTCTATTGTGTTGGGGATGACGGGACACTAGGGCTGGGCGATACGGCCTAAAATCAATATCACGATATATTGAGGATTTCATCTCGATAACGATAAATGGACGATAACTACAGATATGCGCAGAAACAAAAGTTGTCCACTAGATGGGGCTGTCACGTAAATTACATTGAGTCACATTTTTTACAGGACTCAAGGTGGTACAGCTTCATGAACGTTGCCAACCTTTTCGTTTCTTTATTATCACATTTATTAACATGGGATCAATTATCTAGATAAAAGTCCGAAATTTCGATAACGAGACATTTTCGATTCATTGCCCAGCCCTAGGGGACACACAATGAAAGAAGGAGCCACAGCTGACTGAAGGGAGTTTGTGACGTGCGAAGGTGAGAGAAATATTGTAACACCGGCTTTCCTCTGTGTGACATGCAAGCACACCTTCAGATTGGCTCTTGAAATGAAAGTTTGCAGTCTGAAGTCCCCACGGACCTGAAAAAGTCAACATGCTGGCAGGCAGAAAAACAAATAATTTTAGCAGTGACATGCTTTAGTTTTGTTTATGTTTATTCTTTTGTTAGCAACCTTTTTAAAATAAACTTTTCTGTGTCGTGTTGATTTTACAGCTTCCCTGAAATGCTGTAACCTTTTCAATATTTGTTATTTATGACTTTTATTAAATAGCTCCAATAGCAGTTACTATGGTATGACTTTAGGATGGGTTCAATGGGAATTAAAGAAAAAAAATCAATAAAGTCATCAATTCGTATTTACAAAAAATGGCAAACAACATAAAAAGAAGACGGATGAAATAACAGTGCAGCCAAAAATGAGCAAAACAGACAAAAAGATATTTAATTGTTGTGGGAATATGATCACAAAGGTCAGCTTGGGTTCAATCAGCAAACGCTATAAAACTAAAATAAAAGTTGTTCAAGTCTATTTTGACTGTTAAAAATCAAACTCGGCTGCTGATTCTCCACTAAAAAGCATCACCTGTGAGTCCTTGCTCATAACAATAAATCCCCAGGTTCATAAAAAAATCTAATAATTTATCAGCTAAGTTTTAAAACAAGAATTTACTGTAGTAGAGTAAAAAGTAGTAAAAGAAAAACGCTCGTAACGGTTGAAGGAACTACACAGCAGAGCCCAATGAAGGGAAGCTGTGGGAAACATCTCCACTGCAGCTGGAGAGAGAAACCATGTGGATGAAGACGACCGATACAAGATGAGCTACGAAGACAGTCAGAAAAGCAATTAGCGTCTATTAATTGCTCTCATAACAAGAGATGGGGCTGATAAATTAGACTCCATGATGGACAGTTCAAACACACCGCGCATCAGAAATGTGGACTGCAAAGTGTGTGAGTGGATGTGCAGCACATAGTGTCAGATCTGACAGTAGCAGGACTGATAGGACCAAAGCCTACCATCAACGCGGGATCGCCTTTGTGATTAAAAAGCTGCTGAAAAAAGACTTGAAGATAACAAAAGTAAGTCTGACAGAGGAGGAATGAAATTAAAAGAAACGATGAGTTGGACAAAGAGGTAAAAGTAGAAAGACAACGTCCGACACATACGGCAAAGCTTCATATTCGTATGTTGAGCGAGTGTCTAGGCAGAGTAATGTAAAGCATGTAATCAGGATCAAAATAATACACTAAGCTTGATAGCATCCAAGCTTCCTGTGTGAAATCAAATATCCACTCAGCCTGAAAAGTTTATGGCAGCTCCCGGCACTCTGTTCTTCATCTCGTCCATCCCATAATCGGGTTTCCATTGACAAAACACAGAAAGGAATCCACTCCGGGAGTTTAATGATAGCAGCTCTTTTCTTTAAGGAAACATATGGCAGGCAGCGCTCCTGAAAAACTACTGAAACCACAACAAGGAAGAAGGGCCGAGAAAATGTGTGTTTTAGGCCATCATTTGTTTCCGAGTGGGTCTCCTTAGATACAAAACAGTGAGAAACAAATCTAATTTAGCACCCAAACCACTTTTTTTATGTGGTGCACCAAAAAGCTGGCAGATTTCTTACTGTAGGATGAAAATGGACTCAGTATGTGTGATACATTAGGGCATACGCGGAGAGAAACGGTATGTAATTAACAAGAATGATCACTCTTCCCTGTTCTGACTGAGAGCAACGGGAGCTATGATATCTACTCTGTCCAAAACAGCATAATCGTGTCTCATTTTCAGCTGAAGACCCGACCGAGTCAAAGGCGAGGGCTTAGGATAAACCTCTCCCTCTAATGAGCACCGAGAGGCCACACCAGTTTAAGCTCACATGCTGCTGACTTGCCTCCTGCACCCGCGGCTCACTCACCGGGTCTCAAATGAAACGCAGTAAATTTAAAAACACAAAGCCCTCTCCGTTCCTCCGTCTTACCTTTCGATTATGTCGGCGATGGCACAGGCAAACATCTGCAGGCCCTCTGGAAGCTGCAGGGCGACTGGTGAGAGAGGAAACAGCAAACAGAGAAGACACATATTTCTGTTAGAGCAACGGTGACACGTTATTGAATGCACCCTCGCCAGCAGCAGCTGAACATGGCTGCTGTTAGCTCAGAGCGCTTATAGCAAGCCGCGACATTCTACAGCAATATTAACTCTGCCACGGCAACGCTGTTGGTTTACTTTACTGGGTGATGAGCTGCTGGGAAGTCTAAAACAATTACCACAGCTCCATCTCTGTAACCCACAACCTGCCACCAGCATCACACTCATCTTGCCCCAAAGTCCAGCCAGCAATTAACCTTCAGGAGACCTTCTGCTCTGGCTAATTTAGACAATAAGAGGCCAACCAGTTTACTGACAAGTGACCTCAGAAGCACATGGGAAAAACCTCATGTGCCCTTTTAAGGCCAACTTAGCAGCAGCAGGTTTGATTATCATTATTTTTTCATGAGAGAACACAGAAAGAAATGCCTGCAAGCACAGCTAGCCTGACATCCCATCTGCACCCTGCCTGCAGTCAGGGACTCTTCTTTCCTGTATGCATATTTCTTCAAAGAAAAACAACTCCAGCTAATGCAAATACACACACCAGAAACACATGAAAAACTCTCAAGTGCAAAAAAAAAGTTCAAGTTCATTAAAGAAAAAGCTGTAGTGGATAAAGGAGTTTCACATGTTTTCTATCAAACTCTCAATAACGAGGATTGAGTCAGCTCAGCACACACGGGGGATCTGAACTACATTTGCTGGAAAAGATGTGAGCGTTTCAGCAAAAGAAAAGTTCTCAGAAATAAGAGGCACAAAAATGTAAAAGCCAATACTTAGCTCTTTTTGCCCGTTCTGTCACAGACACACAACCAGCTGCATTAGCCCTGGTAACACGAGACAACCTATTTCCATCCGCACTCGACGGAGAATAATTGACAGCGATCTGGTAATCTGAACTCATTTAGTTACTTTTGCTGCTCAATTCAACCGGTCTGTAATGAGGAAAGGCAGAACGGCGCTTCAGTAACCGACTTTTAGTTCCATCTCTCAAGCTGTGTACATGTTGTATGAAATTCATTTAACTGTTGTTCTGGAACCCGAACCGATCTGAACACTACAAGACTGATCACAAGTAATCCAATCACCTCTGTCTAAATGCACTACGTTCTGATAACATCATTCACACACTCAACACACAACGTGGGGGTGAGACAGGAACTTTCCACAGCAACAAAAACATCACATTCAACTTCTTCAAAATTCCAGTGACGGTCTATGTGCTTATGAACGTTGTTCACTCTTTATTCCACCTCCAAATCTTTACGTCGCTCATCCAGTTAATGGTTGAATTTATATTCATGTTCATCCATCCAAGAAAAAGAATGTAAAATTAAAGCTGCAAGCAGCGTCGTTCGGCCCTCGCAGCGAAGCTGCTCGCCCTCCGTCCGCACCCCCTCCGCTCCATCCCCGACGCTCTCCAAACCCAGCTCCCCGCCGCTCCGTCCTGGCCGGCAGCCCGGGGCACCAGGGCACGTCCACAGACTGAAACGTCCACCACACCGACACCAAGAACAGCTAAAGTTCACCTCGTCCACACCTCACCTTGACTCAGCATCCCCTCTGAGCCTACCATTATATTACATGTCTCACCACTAGGGCATACTCTATCTTTACCACACTGTTGGTGTGATGACACAGACCAACTTTAGTGCTTTTCTCCCCATGTTTATTAAAGTTATCGAAAGTTAAAGTTATCTAGGGGGCGCTGTGATCAAGTCCAGAAAAATCCCATTGAGGTCAGCTTTGGTTGACAAAGACAGTTTTCTGTTATTTTGGCATCAAACGGACGTTGTGTGTGTTATCTAAAGCCAGTGAGCTGAAAGGGGCGGAGCTACAGGGATTTGAACCAACAACCACATCAATGTGCTTGGTGCAGTCACGTGATGTCACAAGCCAAGTATAATGCCATTCTGACTTTGACTTTAGAAGTTAATAAAGTTTGAACCCTTCTAGGGGGCGTTGTGATCATTTACAACTAAATGCCATAGAGGTCATCTTTGGTCATCAAAGATGGTTTTCTGTTAATTTGGCATCAATCAAACGTTGCATGGGTCATCTAGAGACAAAAAGCTGTAAGTGGGCGGAGTTAAAGTGAATTGAACAATTGATCACATACATGTGTTGATTGCAGTTGTGTGATTACTCCCACAAAGTTTGATGTAGTTTGCAGCTTTTTTGCAGAAGTTACAAAGGTTTTTTGTATCTAGGGGGCGCTGTCCCAAATTTAGGAAATATTCCATGAAGAAGTTTGTAGGTTGATGACAGTCATTTGTGTGCAGTTTGGTGTGAATTGCATCATGCATGTGTTATTCAGGGCCTAATATCTGTCAGGGGGCGGAGCTAAAGCGATATCAACAACTTACCACAGGATTGTGGTGGGTGCCATTGTGTGAGTACACATAGCAAGTTTGGTGCAGTTACGACCTCATCTGTAGGAGTTATTACAGTTTTAATGGTGTGTAGGGGGCGCTGTGGTGACATTACACAACTTTCACCAACCGTGTGTGCCTCGTTGAATAAAGGGCATGATTGTTGATTGCCATGTTCAGTCTCGGGCAGATCGGAGACTGTTAGTGGAAGTTACAGTCAAACGTAAGGTCACAGCATCACGCCAGAATTCACCATGGCATCAAAGCCCCTCCCTTTCTGAAAAGCTATCAGATCTGAATGGTCATTACAACATCATGAAGACAGTGCATGACCTTAGTGTCATGTTGACTAAATTAGAGGGGACAAATATGGGCATTTCACCATAAAACAGTAGACTTCCTGTAGTCAGGGGGCGGGGCTTAGGTGATGCCAGCTGTCCACATTGTCACTGTCTTGAGATGTGGTCAGTGATCACACAAAGTTTGAAATTGATCTGATCATGCACATGGGAGTTATTAAGTCAAGTAACGTAATGGCGACTGGTCAAAGTTTGAGGCTTAGCCACGCCCACACCTTTATACTTATTTAAAATCCGACGGTTGAATGTTTTCCTCTATGTCTTAAGAGTATATAGCAGGAGTTTGAAGGTGATCGGTGGAAAGGGCGACGAGATATCATTCTCCTAATAACGTGTGCGAAAACCACTAAATCGCGTACTTGGACCAAAATGGCCGACCTCCTGTGCGACATTGCGCTTGGCTCCAAGAGACTTTTTTGTAGGTCCTGAGACACTACATTAGTGTGCCAAATTTCGTGATCCTCAGTCAAAGCATGACTTGGGGCTGACAGTTTTAATGGTCCTAGGGGGCGCTATTTCAGAAAATAGGCCACACCCACAAACTTCAGCTGTCCAATTCTATTAGGGGTCAGAGTAGGATCACTCATCAGAAAGTGTGTGGCGATGTCACAATAATTGAAGAAATGAGAGACAAACATATATCCATGGCGTGATGGCGAATTTCGCCATGCTCCCAAAGCCCCGCCTTTACTCGAAACCTGCCAGTACTATAGACCAAGTGACCTCAACTTGTCTGCTGCTATTAGCCAGTGATTGCTGGTGATTGGTTAAAAGGAGCCCAATAGGGAGCTGTGAAAAAAAGAGTGGCGTGGCGACAGGTCAAAGTTTGAGGCTTAGCCACGCCCACACCTTTATACTTATTTAAAATCCGACGGTTGAATTTTTTCATCTATGTCTTAAGAGTGTATAACAGATGTTTGAAGGTGATTGGTGAAAAGGGTGATGGAGCATCCTTCTCCAAACAACGTGTGCAAAAACCACTAAATCGAGTACTTGGACCAAAATGGCCGACTTCCTGTGCGACTTCGCACTTAACTCCAAGAGACTTTTTTGTAGGTCCTGAGACACCACATTAGTGTACCAAATTTCGTACTCCTCAGTCAAAGCAAGGCTTGGGGCTGACAGTTTTAATGGTCCTAGGGGGCGCTATTTCAGAAAATAGGCCACGCCCACCGGATGTTCACATCAGATTCTTTTGGGGGCCGGACTAGGATCACTCCCAAGAAGTGTCGTGGCGATATCTCTAGAAATGACGAAATGGGAGGCAAACGTAAGGCCACGTCGGTACGCCTGATTTCGCTGCGCCGCCACAGCCCCGCCTTCTGCAGAAAACTCCCATAAAGTGACGCCAAGAAACCCCAACTTGTCTTCAGTTAGCTGCTACAAATTTGGGATGATTATTTGAAAGGGTGAATTTTGGAAAATTTCCCAGTAAAACTTGACCTTTTAAGTCCTGAGGGGGCGGAGCTTATGTGACATCATCAATCGACCATTCATTTGGCTTCGGGGGGCGATGACGATTGTCCATAGAACATTACTTTAACTGTAATTCTTTCATTTATGAAATTATAGCAATTTGAATTTTCTTGGCGAGTGCTCAAACTTTGAGGCCTGGCCCCGCCCCTTCAGTATTTACGAAAAGTCAATTTTATTTTCTCATTTGAATCATCCATCGCTTCTGTTCGATCGCACACTATTTTTGAGACGATCGTGCGAAAAATGACCAAACTGTTCAACCAAATATAGACCCTAGAAATGGCCAAAATGGCTAAAAATCGCCATTTCAACCTAAAATGGCCGACTTCCTGTTTGATATTGACCATGGTTGCAAGAGACTTTTCCGTGTGGACTGTTGAGTACTACAAGTATACCAAATTTCATAACTGTACGATAAACTAAGCTTTATGGAGAGGGGTATTTTTCACTTTCTAGGGGGCGCTGTTCAGCCACTTTTTTATGAACTTTCGCATTGCCAGTGAAATACGTAAATTTCACGCACTTTCTATATTGGGCCAGAATTTGGTGACTTTTTGGATATGCTAAGACCCCCTAAAGGCCAGCCAAAGACGCGGAAGAAAAAAGAAAGCGTAATAATAATTAAACCTGCAAGCAGCGTCGTTCGGCCCTCGCAGCGAAGCTGCTCGCCCTCCTTCCGCACCCCCTCCGCTCCATCCCCGACACTCTCCAAACCCAGCTCAGCGCTTCTCCATCCAGGCCGGC